TTGTAGGTCACCGATCATGTAGATCGGTTTGTGCCACGATGACCGCTTTACGCTCTCAATTTGGCTATCCCTGACTACCCGATAGGCCCGGCCCGACCCGACCTGACCCGACCCGACCCGATCGCGTATGTGGGCACCCCCTATAAGCGAAAGTGTTGAGTAGAATGTTCCCGGCACTCCTCGCGTCACACACACAGTTACCCCACACCAGTCACGTTGTAGACCGTGAGTTCACGTGAGGGGAGGAATGTGCGCGCTGATCCTTTTGGAGGCGTGTCTCGTCCATCCCTGCGGTGAGTACAGCTGTAGTCAGAGGTGAAGCGTCTATATAATCAAATAGTGAGTACAGCTGTAGTCAGAGGCGAAGCGTCTATATAATCAAATAGTGAGTACAGCTGTAGTCAGAGGCGAAGCGTCTATATAATCAAATAGTGAGTACAGCTGTAGTCAGAGGCGAAGCGTCTATATAATCAAATAGTGAGTACAGCTCTAGTAGATGTGTGCTAAGCCTAGCCCTAGCAAACTGTCGAAAAAGCATCATCATCATCCAGTGCCAGATCTGCGACAGACATCGCCGATCATGGTTCTCCGTTCATTCCTTTGCTCGGATGCTCTCAAAAAAGCTACGTTTCCCTGATCTTTCCCCGTTACCCATTTGTTTAAGTTCCCTAAGTAGGTTGTTCTGGGCCTACCCCTGCATCGTTTGCCCTCAATTTTGCCAGTGAGAGCTAGATACTAGATGTTCAAGACCATTATGTCTATTCAGGTGTCCCAAAAACACGCAAGCAGAAAAAAAGAAGAAAACAAGCAATCACAGACAATGAAGACACCAATGGATGACAAAACCAAGATTCTCTGTGCTCAGATCAAGTGTGGCGTGTCATGTTGTATGTCGGTAGTCAAACATGACACCTGAGGATGGCCTCAACGTGTGCTGTTGAGGAAAATGTGTCGACTTTTCTATGTTTAACTTGTATGCTGTAAATCTATTTGTTAAGAAATTCATCTATTGTTTTAGGACCCGCTTCTAGCTAACATCAGCCAAAACATGAAATAAATAAGTAATAATAAATAATAAATTAATAAATAGCAATAAATTACACTTTTATTTGTCCCAGTAGGGCGCTTTGGTTTACGATGGCAAACATGTTATATACATATATAAATACATATTATAAATACGTACATACATAATTACATGTACAAATACATTCAACAAGGATGCCAGGACCGGCTTGATGTCCTCGTTGGATCTGACCTCTCGTTGGATCTGACCTCTCGTTGGATCCGACCTCTCGTTGAATGTGACCTCGTTGAACGTGACCTCGTTGAATGTGACCTTGTTGAATGTGACCTCGTTGAATGTGACACCCGGCGCTCCAGTCGGCACTTTCCAACGGACGAATGTAAACCGTCAAGGTCATCGTAAAACTCATACTTTCTTTTGTTGTGCTTCCATTTTAGGATACAACACGTGGTTTCCTTAGGGTACGGACACGGTGACACGGGCAGACAGGGACAGCTACTTGCTGTCGCACAGGGACGGACAGGCACAGGGACGGACAGGCACAGGG